GTGTTATAGTAGCGATTCTTCTTAAAAACTTTTTAGTTTAGGTTATCATGAGGTGTCTCCGGATGCCACAAGTCCTTTTGGTGCTTTTTTGTGATATCCTACCTTTGTGTAAAATAAAATTTCAATTTCAATTTTCCTTACTTTGTTTGTTCCTTTCCTATGTTAAAGTTTTCTGTTCAAATTTGTTTTTGTTTATGTAATTTTAATTAATTTAATTAATGTTTGTATCCACTGATGAAGATTGAACTCTCATATTAACCTGAACGCGCATCATATTGACCTGAACGCGCATCATAACTAGTAATATTGCCACTTTCTTCCCATTTAGGTCAGCATATGTCCATCCCGGAGCGAACTGACCTGTTTCGAATCCGCCATTCTTTATCATTTCTTCACTATCGTTCGTCGATGTTATGGATACATCATCGAGATAGCCATAACCATCTACAAATGCAAATGTTATTTCTGCACATGTACAATTTTCACCTGGTGTAAATAAATAAGTATAATAAGTGTAATTGTTGAACCTGTTCGAACCCAGTTCCGAACCAACGATTTCCGTACAAAGGGGTGAAATGATTATACAGCTATCTGCAATCGATGAAGTTGTATCTGAAGAAAGTATTGATGTAGAAGAATCAGTTAATGTAGAACTTGCAGCTATAAAACAAAAAAAATTAATTACTATCAGTTAAGAGCCTCTATCATATTACAATTACCCAAGATTATTGATGACGATTGTGATATACCAGTATTTGTAACTACCAAAGCTAAAAAGTAAGGTAATACATTTGATTTAAGCAAGAAAGGAGTAAATGAACTTACACGTATTCAATACTAATGTTGTTAATGACGTGTCACTACTGGTCGTCATAGTTCGAATTGTCACTATTGATGTTGATTCTGATGTGTCACTACTGGTCGACACACTTTGAGTAGACATTATTGCAGATCCCGTACTTGCCCAGGCTGGATAAGTACGGGATTTCTCAAGTACGAGTCGAGTACGAGTACCAATGCTTCGAGTATGAGTCGAGTACAAGTACAAGCATCAATTTTGTAAATACAGATACCATTGAACCAGGTATGACTATGAATGTTTAAAATAATTTGTGGGAAAAAATGTCCTATAGCTCTTTAGTTATTCTCTTAATTAGTCTCTTATTATTTGATATATATCAAAACAAAATATTGACAAAGCGAAATGTTAAAACATTTTTTTAATTTATTGTATTATCAACCTTCAAGTAAATGGAATCAAAGTAAAACTTTGTCACATTTTAGAAAAGTTAGTAGACACATATTCTTTGCCGTTAATGATGCTCGATGTGGTCTCATCGGAAAACCACTTTGCGAGAAAACGCGTTCGATAGAAGCCGATGTCGCAGGCACCGTTAGATATTTCAGAGGAAGTTGATATAATCCCGGATAGATGTGCTTTTTAGAAAAAAGTAAATCTTCTTTGCGACTTTCTTCGCATAAATAACACACACTTCATCTGGGATTTCAAATATTAGAATATCGAGTACTGACCACCTCGAGTACAAGTACGAGTACGAGTATGACCAAAATCGTACTCGAGTACGAGTACTTCGAGTATTTTGCCCCAGCTCTGCTTTTTGTACAGAATATACTCTTATTCATTTCCATTGATTTTGGTTTTTCTTTTGTCGTATCCAATGGGTAAACTAATGGAATGGTGTTTACCGAGTAAAAGAGTATATATTTTGAAGCACTTTATTTCCTTGAATCCCACACAATTTTCGATAAAAGAGCACACACTCATTTTTATAATGGCTTTTGTTGCCAGTATTCCTGTACTGGCTATTGATACAGCCGTTCTGAGACATATAAGTTTTGTCGTAGAATATAATTATGCATTGGAAATATTTCTTGTCATTTCATCGCAAGTAATGGATTACGCTTTGGCAGGCATAGTATGCAGATTTCTGGTGTGGCCTTCAGAAATGGTTTGGCCAGTGAATTTACCATACATCGCTTTGTTACGCACACTACACAAACCGGAACAATCATTGAGCCATCGATGGTTACATCTAACACGTCTAATTTTTTTTACATTTGCAACCATTGGTCAAGCAATATATTATTGGTTACCGGGTTATATTATGCCTGTATGGTCTGCTTTTTTGCTGCTGTATGGTTTGGGTTTTGGATCATTTCAAGTTGATTGGTATAGTTTAACATCTCGATTATCATCGCCGATTCTTGGTCCTCGTTGGGCTCAAATAGATATACTTGTTGGTTTTATCTTTTTTGTTTGGATTTTTATTCCGGGAAGTATTTATTATGGGAACCTGTGGAATTTCAAAATTTTTCCAATATTAAACAAGTAATGTTCATTTTTGATTCACTTAAGACACCTAAATAACACAAAATAGTCAGCGAAATAAACTTTGTTTTGCAACCGCTTTTTTGTTACAGCTCAGTCTTGAAAACTTGAACTGACCCTTACTACGTACGACTGCCTTTCTGTAACTTTTCTTTCAATATAGTTGAGAATATATCAGAGACCGAAACCAGACGTGACCCGAACCCGACTCGATCCGAACGAACCCGAAAACTTCTCAATTGTGATCGGAATTAGCGCCGAAATATGAAAAGTCTTTCGTACACATTCGCAAAGAAACACTTCTTTTCTGTAGAAAAGTTATCCTAGTCATGTTGTTTTGAAACTTTTTCAAAAAAATGATCAGATTCCTTACGGTTTCTGCCATTTTTTAATTTTTTGAGCGAAAAAGTTTGGTTAATTTCGACAATTTTTCTTTTATGACCTGAGTTTGACTCGAAATAGGTTTCTGATCCGATCTGAACGTGAGTTGATCCGACTTGAATCAATATCTTTTACGGTGACCCGAACCTGATCGGATCGGACTCGACCCGATCCATTTTGGTATCTGGAATATAAACGTTAGACGTCAACGATAATAATTCGGCGATTCGATCTTCAGTGCCGGTCACCCATTCACTTACTGTTCATTGACTTGACGCTTGAACAGAGAAACGACAGATTCATTGTCACAATTTCTCTATGAGTCACGCAACTTTAGGACGTTTAAAGAAAGAAAATGATTTTGATATTTTAAGCTCGACTTCTTGTTTGAACTATATAAATTTTGTTTTACAATAATGCACGCGTAGTAAGGATCAGTTCAAGTTTCTAAGGCTTGAGCTTTTCTGTAAACAAAAAGCACCTGTAACACAAAATTTATTTAGTTCAAACAACAAGTCGATTTTACAATATCAACAGTAGTTAGTGACTTTACTTTAAGCACAATGGATTTAGTTCCAGAAGCTAAGTGTGTTCTGCACCTGTACTATAGCTTTGAGGTGTGATGAATGCTCAGTAAAATGAGTTTTTACTCTTCTTTTCATACGGTACACACATTGGAATTTTTCACATAATTCTGATAGCTATATTTGTTTATGTTTCCACTGGCCTGTAAAATACTGTCTCTGTTCTCACTATACATTTCTCCTGCAGCCATGAACCATTTTTAAAGCTAGCATACAAGTTATTTCTAAAATTTCCAACTCAAGCCCATTCGACGCTACAAATTTGTTCCCACCCAGTATTAACAGAGCTGCTTAACATCAGTAAACCCTACGATAGAATAGAACGACACTGTAAATACTTTGATATGCGGGGTGAATTAAAACGAGATGTCGGACTTGGCTTACCCACTGGGTCCGAAATATTTTTAAAAGACGCGAAGTAGCAAAAACATTTGAAGAATGCAAAAGAAAGAAATATTTTTCCTGTTCGAAACCAGCAGCGAATTCAGGATTTTGAGCTAGACGGCTGAATCCGTAAAAAATTCCATTCAAGAAGGTCATCAGCTTTTTTTATTGGAATAGCACAAATTATTTTTTAGAAGAGTTCTCTCCTCGAAGTTTGTTATCATTAAACTTACCGGAATAGATATATGAACCTGTGTGATATAATGTATGCGACAAGAGATGAAAAATAAGCTTTATATCTTTAGAAGAAATTTTCATGACTTCAGCAGAATTGCATAATTTTTCTTTCTTGTTTTGTCGTGATTACTGATTGTAGGAGTCCTTTTTCCCTCAGACGACTATGAAGCAAGAGAGTGAGAAGGTAAAAACAGTGATGTTGGCGCTGATGTAGCAGAACAGCGAAATAGTTACGAAAGAAATGAAAAGAAAATGATTAATGTATAGAAGGGAAAGAGAAAGGTAAATTACCTACAAGTCTGAGAGAGTAGCCTTTATTTATAGCTTAGTCTCCCTTTCAAAAATTCACATAAAAAAGATATACGGCTTGTATGGGACACAAAAGACATTTCTCTGTTGTTTACTTCAATGCTTCTCAGAAAATGTTCATGTTTTTCTAGAAATAATAGCTGGTCAATCAGGAATGAACTTTGTTTCTCCAGGTATGAACGAATAGTTTTCCTGGTTCTTCCAGGTAGCAGTATATATCGTTCTGTTAGAAACTGTCTGTTGAGATGGTGTCTGTAGTTGATATCGTTGACTAGGATATAAATAGTGGTGTTGGGCAAATCCTGTATCGTTCTAATGGGTAAGCCGTTTGTTTCGTGATATTGCTGTGCGTTGTTCACTGGAATATTCCTCTGTGATGTTGCATAACAGCTCATCCCATACCTGCCCTAGGTTGTAAATGTGTCTAAGGGCTTTGTGATGTGTTGTTTATAATCGATTTATAAAATACTGTGGTAGAAGGTGGAAAATCGGCAGTAGTCAACCGATGTGTTGATATAAAAAAGCAAAATTGGAGAAAGAATATTAAATAACTGCCAGTTTGCAGTGGAAATATATGATGGAATGGAGACAAGTTCGGTAAAGGTAAATAAAATAGGATGATGATCACTGTTGTCTGAAGAAACTGTAGTACTCTCTAAAAAAAACGGCTCCATAATAAACCATTAAGGTTTCGCGTATTTTTTCGAAACTTTTAATGGTTTTGTGGTGAAATTTCGAAATTCAAAGGGTTTGTTAGACGGTACGAAACCTCAAAGCAAAATATTTTTCTACAAGGGTTTTGTACAGAGTATACGAAACCGGCGAAGTGGTTTCGTAGCATTAAAGGTTTAGTAGAAATTTCACAAACCTTACGAGTTTCATATCGCATTAAACACTTCTTTGATGAAAGAAGAATATGTTGAAAAACCAATAAACAGTTAGTAGCAGATATTTATTAGTCTTAAGATAGTTATCGAAAAGATGTTGTCTAGTTGGAACACGCGATTTACGTGAATACCATTAGATAGAGCTATTTTTTCTCTGCTGTGATTGGACTAATACAGAAACCAATACATGACAGAATGTGAAAGATGACTATTTTATTTCTTTGCTTTTTGCATGAACTATGGCCTACTTCATCGGGAAAAGTTAAATCTACTGTCTTCCCATACCATTCCTTCCTCAGTTAGTTAACCAAGTTTAGAAATGTTCACACGATCTAAAAAAGTTCAATAACGATTAAGGATTGAGGAACATCTTCTTTGGGAAAACCGTGTGTCTTCTTTGCATAGCTGAGTGTACTTGCTTGATTATGTTTAACCAACATAATACAGCACTTGAGGCAAGCAACTTGAAGTATTAATAATACTTCAAGTTTTATCATTTGCTGATCTCTCATAATTCACTCGTCACATGTGAATAAGAATTTAGTATGATGGGCTACTTGATGTCTGGTTGG